ACACACACACACACACACACACACACACACACACACACACACACACACACACACACACACACACACACACACCTCTCTGGGTTGGGACAGATATCATGCTGACATTTACACTAGCACAGATCTATTGAACTGTAAAATACTTCTAGTAAAGGAATTATAAAAAAATAACAAGCCACAGGGTAATATAGTATGTTATTCTAAAATCTCATTATCTGATACAATAAGAGCAAATTAATTCATGTTGTCTTACAGTGACTTGCTGCTCTCAGATGTAGGAGAAGGACCGTCTCTGGAGAGATCCTGAGATATCTTGATGGCTTCCTCCATCACTGCCAACAACCCATCACCTCCTTCTCCTCGAAGGGCGGGACCAAAACATTCTGGTCGGCGAATCAGAAGCCTCACCACAACGTTGGCATTCTCCTCCACACTTTCACCTGGCAGCAGAACAGGAGAGGTGTTCATGACAACGTACTTTGTGCCAAACATCCTACATACAGTTCACACACGCATTCAGGGACAAAGAGGCACAACAGTTTCTTGCTGCTTACACTTGACTGCTAATATAGTCTTCTATAAGAAAAGGGACTTCTGGCTAGAAAACTCACCGTTACAGAAGACAGCGAAGCGGAGGAAGTCTAGGTAGCGTTCCCCCTCCACAGGGTTCCAGCCGATGTCAGGGTATCCGTTACGCACCAGCATCAAGCAGCTCTGCAGCCCACAGCCGGCCAGGTACTGCACCACCTGCACAGGGAGACAGGGTTTACAAATTAACCGTCTCTGAATTTAAAATACATTTAATTTATTTTCTTTATCAGATTAGTAGTTTATTTACTTTGCAGACAGTGCTTTTATAAAAAATGTCACATAAAGACAAAAACAATTTTTCCGTCACAATTTTATGTTAGGTGACAGGGACTATGGAAGCCCTTAAAGGCAAGTGAGAGAAAAATAAACGAGATGATCGATTCTGTAATTAAACAGGTATAAAGTAGTCATGATAATCTTTCTGAGTTTCTTTACTTGTATTTGTTTCATCTGAGATTTACAGTTGGATAATAACACTAGAGTGTCTTCTGAAATAAGAAGCTTGTGTGTATGTATATACATGTGTGAGTGTGTGCAAACCTCACCTTCTCCAGGTCTGGCTCTCTCAAAGCCAGGGCCAGTTCATTATTATCCATGACTGATGCTGCGGCCACATCCAGAGGAGTAGACCCTCGCATAGAAGGAGAGGCTGAGGAGGGAGGAAAAGACAAGGAGAGGGGAGGGGAAGAGAAGGGAGATCACAGAAGGGAAGTGAAGGAAAATGCAACATAAATATAAATACAACTAAGAGTATAAAGAGTCTATTAGCAATAAAACAACATAGGAGTGTCTGCTCCTGGATACAGCACTGTGGGATACACAGCACTATTCAAACAGCCAATGTTGTCTGTGAGACAATAAGCTGTAAAAACAAATGAGGTCTAACAAAGTGTCCATAACCTTGCCAGAAAACAGCACACAGCTTCTCTTTGTACACACATGAAAAGCTGGGAGAATCGCAGTATGGAAGGAGTGAGAATCAAAACTTTCAAGTATATTTGGAATGTGACTTGTGCATGTGTCACATACTGTTTGCAGTATGAAAAAGATACACTGTACACTGCACTGCATAAGTCACAAAGTAGAAAATATGTTCTTGTATGATATCGTCAATATGTGAATGATTAGATTAATACATGAATGACAACCATGTACAGTATTTCTGTATTAAAATATGTACTGTTAGTATGCAAAACAACTCAGTATATATATATAAATATTTATATATACATCCTGTGTAAGAAGAGGTGAAACAGATAAGGAGGCATATCGCAGGGCAATAAACCATCAATTGGAAGGCATTAACTGGCTTGGGGAGAAGCGGGAGTGGAAGCAGTTGCCAGAGTCCAAATGTGTATATTAGTGATAATGTTTGTGTTGTATTTAAAATATTCTGCAGACCAGATTGGTGTATTAAAATATGTAAGATCTACAGAAAACCTAACTATATTGAATTCTGCAGTCTGTATAAGTTAAATCTGTTTTACTGGACATGTCTGTTGTGAATCTGAAAACATTTGTCTCAGTTAAAGATTTATTTATACATGGTCTGCATGTGTGTTGTGCGTCAGGTGGTTATATGCACACACTGTGATTCAGTATGACATCACAGAAGCACATCCTCACCGAGGCCTACGCTGCTGTTCTCCAGCAGGTAGCTGAGGTGATCAAACATGGCCTTCTGGTTCTGCCGGCTGATGCGACAGAAGTAACAGAGGAAACGACAACAGTTGGCCACCATTTTAGGAAAGGTGATTTCCTGCAAAAAGACAGACTTTGCGTCAGACCAAATTCCTACTGCAGTATTGAGGAACCATTCACATTACTCTGTATATGTTGCAGGTTTCCGATCAATGCTACTTCTTTAAAAAACATGATTATAACATTAACATTTATTGTATTTTTTAATTTTATAATAAAATAAATAGTTTTAGTAATAATTCTATATTTGTTCCACATAATTCCTCTTACTGTGTTTATATATGCACCATTACACATTAAAGCTTAACCCTTTTATGTCTTATCCTAATTGGCAATCAAGCTGATTCTGATATGCTCCATAAAATGTTGTAATCATTTTGAGAATTCATTTAAAATGTTAAATGCTCTATCAGATACAGATTAACAGTTTAATTAAAAGAATGACGTTTGACATTTACAGAAGGCCCAAAGATAAAAATGTGTGTTGATCCAGACACACTTCATACCTTGGAGTCTCCTCCGCTGAGCACGTTGACCATGACCTCCATGACGGTCTCGTGCATCCCCAGAGCTCTCATCAGGTTAGGGTGCTGGTAGAACACCTTGTTGTTCATGATGTCACTGCAGAGGAAGAGGAGAAGGGGAAGAGTTTAGTGGAGTTTTTCATCATTAGGGCTCTGACCAGATATATAATCTGAATATTATGATGTGATGACGTATTCTTGTAGGCTAACTCGGAAGTTAGCATCACAAGGGATCCCTAAAGAAAAAGCAGTGTGATTTTTGTAATCCATTTTGGTCTATTGAAGAAAATAAGATCTATGGCAAACACATGTTTGCGATACGTACACGTTTTTTCTCCACAGCTAAGCTTAATGCCACTTATGTTCTGTGTGATTATTTCATATTTTGGACAATTGTTAGTAAGGCTTTGGAAATTCACCCTTGGTGTATTTACTGACGTATTTCATATTGTTGGAAAAAACTTGAAAATCTCTTCAGCTTGTGTTAACCACAGATCTGATTTCAGGCATCTCACCAAAAAAATCACTTTAAAAAAATCTTAACTCTAATTTTAAAAACATTCATGTTGTATTTTCATGAGAATCAGAAGGAGTGTTGAGCAGCTTGTCCTCACCCCAGCCCTCTGATCATCAGCTTCTCCTCCTCTCTGCCCATACGGACACTCAGCAGAGATCTGATCTGCCCCAGAGCTGCCAACAGGTTGATGGTGTCCTCGATGGACACTGAGTTTATGGTGTAGGTCTTAGGGAGCGCCCGCACCTACACAGATAAGAACAGAGTCATATATTTTAAACATTTCTAAGGTTAACAGATATCCTCTAATTAACTGAGCACTACTGTATAGAAGAGCAACTATTGAAGAGAAATAATTTTCTTTCATTTTCATTTGTATAGGTCCCACTGGAGTTAACTTGCAAATTAAACTGTATATCCAGACCAAGTCATTGATTATTACAATAGACATTCTACAATGCTAAACAAGTTATAAGTCAAAGCCACATTTGTAAAGGTGATCAATGTTTTCCGATGAAATATAAATATTACTTATATAAAACAAATAGATTGCAGTTGACGTATTTGTAAGTTCATCTGTTGGCGTTATAGTATAGGCTGATCTTATGATTAAATCAGATTTTTCTACATGTTGTATTTATAAGACAACTAAAGAAGAAAAAAAAGGGCAAAAATGTACTTTAAACAGTAAGCCCCAAGTTGCCCCACATCTGACATTCTTTAATATTACAGTAATACCAGGGTCTGGTTTAGCTTCCCTTTTAGAAGAACACCCACTGGCACAAACCTACCTGTCCTCCGATACCATCATACTGCCGGTGCAGCAGGACAAACATGGCTCTGACTAGCTCTGGATCCTCGATCACCGACTCCTGAGCCCAGCGGACCATGGTGTCTGAGATCAGCTGCTGTAGTGTACCTGCAGACACAATAAGGTGCTGTTAGGGAAACTGTTGGTCCATATCAGAAAATATGATTTATTCTCCTTTTGCTGCTGCTGTGTGTGTTTCAGCTGTGCAGTGGACTCACTGGGTTTCCTTTCTTTTTTCTCCTCTGGCAGGTTGGCCATCTTCTTCTTCAGGTAGGCCACTTTCTCCACCAACGACATGAGCCGACCCCGGATGGTGAAGTCACTTTCAGCATTTATCCCTGTCTCGTCATCCAATTCTTTACCTGAGAAGATGGGAGAATCAGTTATTATCCTTATTGATCTCTGTGGCTCCCTGGACATTCTAGTTGATCTGAATGTTTGGTTAATGTGCAGGTGAAGCTGAGAGGTTACCACAGTGTCTCATCAGGTCTTCATGAAAGTCCAGCAGCTGTTCTCTGATGTATTCAGGACAGGGACACTCCTGCTTCTCATCCTTGAAGTTCAGAAGCATGTTGATCTGCAGAAACACATGCAGGTGTGACTATGATACAAGAAATGTTTGATAAATACAACAACTACCAGTTCTGAGAAGCAAACAGGAATACCAGCACACAAGCTAACCCCTGAACAGCTGTGGACAGGGGCAGCAGAAAGGTGTATTTAGCCACCTGGAGGAAAGACCCACCAAAGCTATATTTAGAATCTTTTCACAGCTTTACATCGCAGTCAGAGTCATTTTAAACTAGGAACTGATGCCGCTATATCTATATATGCTCTCTTTGAAGCCAATAGTCTCCATTGAAAAATACAGTTGAGTCGCTGCTCAAATGATTTAGTTTGTATTTAGATGGAGACCGTTTATAAATCCACCTAAACACATTAGGTCTGAATACATACATGCCCAAACACATGTTTGTTATGGAGAGGTGTCAGAGAGAAGAGGGAGAAGTTGACTTGGGGATTTGTTTTTTTTGGTCCGACCAAACTTGAACGGGCGAACCTTTAACTACCAAGCCAAGTCCCTACAGAGAGAGCTAATACTGCCCTAGATTGTGTTTGTAATGTCATTTTTTCTATGTATTAAAATATTCCTAAAATTACATATATAAACATAACCCTTGCTCTTTTAAAAAAAAGAATGTATCTTATTTTAGGAATAATTTAAGTAGGTCTTATGTCACTGCTAGGTCACACCAGGCAGATACATTTTATTGTTCATCTCATGTTTTCTTAGGGCCAAGCTTTTCAAATAAAACCTTCAGTTTGTAAGATTTCAGATGCTGTTCTCCTGCATCTCATTATTTCAGGTCAGATAATCCAAATGTCCACAAAGTGTGATTTATAAACCAAACAAACCGTGGTAGACCAGAGACTACCATGTTCTCCCAGGTTTTTGTTGTCAGTCAAAAGTAGGTCACTTTAAATAGTGTAATACAATCCAACTTCATTACATCTGAATTATTCATTTAAAAGGATTCAGCTAAATAAGGTATTTAGGAAAACATCAGAAAACATTCCTGATCTTAATTCCTTTGCTCAAGGTGTATCTAAAGTCTCAGCTTTCATTTGGTCAACTTTCTGCTGTTCCTCATTAATAATCACGCTATATCTTCTCCAGAATAATCTACAAACTGTTCTTTTGAACTGTTCTTTCCTCCAGCACACTCTCTCTCTCTTCTTCTGTGGTGCTCCCACCTGTTCCTGAGGAGGAGATCTGAACTCTTTGGTCTTCTTGGCAGTGAGGGCTGCAGACATGTTGAGTGCCAGCATCACCTCATTGTAGCGGAACCTCTGGTTGTCTTGGAGACAGGCCACAAAGTCATCAGAGAAAGCCACCACCGCCTCGATACGATGACGCACCTGGCAGTCACACAGGTACTGCAGCACATGGCACATCTGCGGATATAATATAAAAATAAGGTGTAACACATTTGTAGGATACACTAAGTGTCTTTTCATCAAGCTTTGGTGTTGTTTGCAGTTCTTGAATATTTAAAAGAGTTTTTGATTTGACATTGCTCAAAGCGGAAGAGAATATTGACATGCTACCCGACCTTAAAGCACGGACAATTTTTCAATACAAAACCTACAACTTGTTATTTATTCCAAGTTAGGTAAAAGAGGCAGTGTTTGTTGATTTTATTTGTATCTAATTGTTACACTTCCAAAATCCAGATCCAGGGTAATCTTTGACTCTGTTTGTATTTGTTCCTGTGAGTTCAAGTGCCTTGATCCTTTTTGGCAAACTGTTATTTCTAAGTGCTGCTGTTGTTGTAATACACAGTAGGGCTCTGAATTTTAAATATATCCTTAAATAACATTTTTTCTAAAGTGGGACAATTATTTCCGCACTCTTCTTTTGCAAATAAAAACATTAAGTATCTCATTAAAATAATCTATTAAAAACGTAAGTCATAAATACAGGATAGAAACTAATTTTGATCGTATTTGAGACATACATTTTTCTTACTTGCCTCTCATTGCTTCCGTAGTGTTTCCTATCATTTTACATGAAATGTATGTATATTGCAATGTGATGAATGTGACACTCTATAATATAAAAAAAGCACTGTCTGTAAATACACCACCAGCATGTTACATTAATAAAATGATAGCTCATTTACAAAGTGAGAGGATTACGTGAGAATCACCTGGAGTTTTACAGGCTCTGGTAGCTTCATCTGTAGCAGTCCTTCTTTTGGCATGCTCCTCCCTCCATCCTCTCCTTCCCCCTCCTTCACCACCTCCAGCTCCATGTCCTCCTGCCCTTCCCGTCTTTCAGAGAACACAGCTGGTTCAATCAGCCTGAGGATGTTCTTCAGATCTTCGCTTTGAAAAACCCCCATGATGAGCAGGGTGTAGAAGAGCTTGATGAGCGGGACAAAGAGGAACTCAGTGGTGCCTCCGATTGGATCCCGTACGTGCATGCTTCCTTCCCGCACGGCCTCTGTTAGCATCTCAATAGTTTTAATTTTCAATATGTCTAAAGGGAATTCAGGGCTATACTGGAAACAGTCTCCTGATCCGGTGTTTCCGTAGGTACAATGTGATGGTCCGGTCCCACACACAAAGCTTGGGGAGGAGAAGTGCATTCTGGGTCTCAGGGAGGTGCTGAGGCCGATGCCTGGCAGACCGTGCTTCTTCTTCTCGTCTGGAAACAGGGTGATGCTCTTGGTTTCGTCTGTCATTGGAACGATGTACTCATTGTTCATCATGAGGCGCGCCGTGGTGTAGCTGCTCAGGTGGATGTCGATGAGCAGGTCATAGTAACCCGCACGGAGCAAACCTGGAAAGAGACCCACAGAAAGATCATTATTACATTCAACTAAGAACATTAATCCCTAAAAAATTATAAAACATACGATCAGACACTAATCTTTACCTGATAATGCCAAATGAAATGTATATTTATTACATATTCTCCAAACAGGTGTACATAGCCATTTCTTAAAATGGTACTGTATTTGGTACCCCATTTTCTACATAGAGACACATTTGAAAAGCTAAAGAAACAATCCATGTACTTATTAAAAAGTATTATATGTACATCAAATCCAGATAAATCTTCTTCATCTGAGTCACATTGATGTCCAAAAGATATTTAAAAAAGACATCAGTGAGTTACACTGTCAACTACAGAAGCCAATGACACCATGTCTGTTGTTGTCAGACAGATTTAACTGATTCTCAACCCTTTGCTTTGAGTAAGTTGAGTTCAGTTGAGCAAGAAGTGTATTATTTGCTGTAACACAGAATATTTCTGAGCAGTGTCCACTGAGAGCTGTTTTTCTCTCCTCTTGTAGAGACTCTGCTATTATACTCTCCAGCTAAAATGAGCCTACAAAGTTTTTTGATTAGTTTGTTAGCAGGGCTGAGCACTGGGAGTAAAACGTTTCACGTTGTGAAAATTCTTATTGGATGTCATTTACCAGGTCAATGCCAGAAAAGATACTGGAGTGAAGGTGAGAGTGACACAGATTATTAGGCTGTTAGACGTAGGAGGTAATGCCAACACTGACCTCCAAAAGATGCCCCCCCAGATCAGTCCCATGCTGCTTACCCAGTGGACAGACAACTATATACAAACGGGTAATGTCCAAATTAGGGGAAAAAATTGCCTGCAGCACAGGACGCTTCTTAACTAAATGGAACGACTCACTGCTTCCGTTTTCTAGATATTGTATCAGTATGCAGCGCAGTACATACTCCCAAACAATGCAATGACACTGCTCTCAGGGTACCAGGCAGAGACTCCAGAGAAGATGGGCTGATAGCTGGATACTGGGTCGGGGGTAGGGCCAAATCACATTTCTCAGGCACAGGCTTTAATACCTTGCATGCAGTTATTCTTTCATTGGCTGTGTGTTTTACCTGGCATGTACTTATTCTCTATAGCCTGCAGGAGCTGTGCCTCATCTACGTGGGAGCAGAGGGCGTGTGCCACCCTGTTGTTTCCCAGAGCACAGATGGCCGAGTACAGTCTGAGGGTATGGTAGTGAAACTTTAATAGATCCCTCTGCTCGGACAGCTCCAGGATATCCACCGACCTGGACAGAGAGAGTGCATGACAAATGAGACAGTAGGGGGATGAATATGTGTGTGTGTATGTGTGTATTGGTGAATATGTAGGGTAATCTACTTGTTCTCCTCAGGTATATGCAGGGACATGAACTGCATAGGTTTGCTACACTGGACTAGCCAGCCGTGTCTGTCATTCACTCTGGATGCTGACACCTGGAAGAGAAATGTTGCTTTTTACCCACTGTGTGGCACTGCATACTGCCTATCCACAGTACATTGTGGAACAGTTACACAACTAACCCAGCAGCTAATATGAGGCGATGAACATCATTTACATACAGCAAGATAAGACATCACTAGGGCTTGCACAGTACATTTGAAAATATCTGTGAGGCAATTAGTTATCCTGTTCCCAACCAGGGATAGTCATTAAAGCTACGTTAAAATGCAAGGGATTTTTCTAACGCGTCGTGATTACATGTACAGTCAATGCAAAGACGCAGATAGACACACATTTGCGCCTCTCATCACTGACGTTGAATTAGAAAACCAAACAGCAGCCGTTAGCTGTTAGCATGCAGAGCTCACAGCTCCTCATATCTTTTCAGAAACTGGAGAAAAGTTATAAATGTACAAAACACAGACTCTCTATGGTATGGTGAATACAGTCGCGGCTTTATTTGTGTGTATGATGTTGTTGTAAGTGAGGATAGAGCAGCTAAAACCGTAGATTAGCCGATCGATCTAATCTCCATTCAGAAAAAAAGCGTTTTAAATTGTTTTGCCTGCCGTCTTGTTTTTATTAACAGTATGTCGTTATTTCGAAAACGTGTATAACAAATAAATCACGGTAATATAGGAATTTGTTGTAGTGGGTATCTAGTGTTACATAGTATTTACATGGAGATAAGTCCCGCCCTTTTGCCAGCACGTCTAGTTTGAAACAATAGAGTGGCGAAGTCACGCCCATCTACTTCCGCCCCATGGGACCTTATTTCTGAAAAATTCAATGTCAATGGAGAGAGAAAACGTATCTTTCGATCCCGTTTGAATTGTGCCATGAATTACACATATGATGTTTGTCAATCTTAAAAAATCATTTCCATGTCAAAAAAACATGTTTGTCTTAAAACTGTTGAAATATAAGACTATGAAAAATACGCAACTAGAGAGACTACAAATCCCGGAATCCCGGTACCGCATGCTGGCTCTTACGGAACCAACTAACTCCCCTTTTGTGTATGTACAGTTCTCAACATGGCCAGACTTGTAGTGATTTTCACCTCTTTTAATACTTTTCACTTCATTCTGAAAGAAAGAGGTGAAATGTGCTAACGTGACGGCCGTCTTGGTGTGTCCTGCGAGACGGGAGATGTAGTTCATTGAGCGCTTCACACAAAAAAATGTGTTACTTCACAGTTTTACGACACATTTTTATTTTTTTGACTTGTAAAATTATCTTTTAAATTGACAAACATCATATGTGTAATTTGTTGCACAATTCAAACGGGATCAAAAGATAATCTTTCTCTCTCCATTGACTTCAATACATGATTTTTCCGAAATAAGGTCCCACGGAGGTCCCCCGGAAGGGGAGGAACTTCGCCACTCTATGTAAACACAAGTGAGAGCCGCGGTGAAACTCGAGCGAGTATAGCGATGCAAATTGTTGATTCACATCGCACATCAGGTATATCTACTTTCACAATTTAATAATGTTATTATTGACTGCTAGTTCAACACTTGTTATATGTTCACTAAGGCTTATAAGCTGCTACTTATTTTTATACCTTGGATATTTACTTATTTGATCTTTATTTGATGTGTTTCTGATTTAATATTTATTATCTGCTCAATTTATCTGCCTTTTGTCCCAACGCTGTAACGATTCCCGTTTCCCTGCTGTGGGAGTAAATAAAGTATTATTGATTCTCATTCACAGTTCCAGAAAAACTTCAGGGTGTCACGCTGCAAAGTAAGATTAATGTTAAATGGAAGCTGTCTCACTTGTTTCTGTTCAGAGCTGTCACCCTTTACATATCTTCTTCTACACATTGCACAATTAGTGGATAACACATTCTGACAAAAGCTATGTGTCTAGATTTTTCTTTTTCGTGTTAGCCAAAACAAAACAAACGACTTACTATAAATAGGTAGGATTGTTACTGTACCTTGAGGAAGTGGTTGGGAACTCGACTCCATAACACAGGAGTGAGAAACTGGACATGCAGTCGTGGAGGACACTGAGGAACTGGGTTCTTCCTCTCACTCTTAAACAGACCAGCTGACAGAGGCATCACATTCTGACAAACAGACACGATACACTCATCAAGATACAACATAACAAAATCAAAGGAGTTTAACGTGGACTGATTCAAATTCAAAGTCAACTGAGAGTTGTCTTTTATATGAAGTCTGAATAATCTGGTTATATGTATAGTATTTTTTTTTCTTCAAACCAAAAGGACGTTACAACAGCATTTGGAATATTTGGATCTAATAAGAAGTCATTATTTTATTTATTTTTCCAAAATTCCTTTAAATCTCTCCACCTGTAACACTACAGGGCTTTTATGATGAAGCAGCAAGTTCTCACTGAGGTTAAAAGCAACCCCCTAAACTTAAAATATGTTATAATTATATATTTTTTAATAATGAAGCTGTATGTGTGTACGTGTGTGTCATTCTCACCTTAATACGGCCCAGTTCAAACTGGAAGACATTGGGGCTGGTGGCCTTGGCAAAGACTGCTGGGAACAGCTTAGTGCTGGGCTCCACCTGAGAACGAGGATAACTACCGGTAAGCTGGTTGCATCAAACTGAAGCACAATTAGCCAATCCTTTTTTGCAGTCCACAAACCAAGTTAAACTAGAAAATGCATTTCCTGCTGAAAATGCGTGCTAATGCTATAAACTGTGTACATTTGTTGCTGAATTTAGCTGAAAATGCAGAAAAAGCTGAATATGTTATTAGTTGAATGGTCTCTGTAGCTGCTTTTAGCTACAAAAACCAAGTAAGTGTGTTACTGAACTTGGCGGAGAAATGCAGAAAAGTGAAATGATATGAATCAAAATTGTTGTAGTTGGAAACTTGAAAGTGAAATGTTAAACTGGAAGAGTAGGAACAATTATGAAAAAGCTTAATATTTAAAAGAAAAGGTTTAAACAACAACATGTTTAGCCTCAATGTCCTGAAATAGCTGAATAATGTAATAGTTGAATGGTTTCTGTAGCTGAAAGTAGGCTGAAGGAATTACATATCAGATGTAAGTAGTAGTGAATTAATGTGTATTAAGAAGATAAAAGAAAGTAAAAAGGCTTGGGAAAGCAGCAGAATATTTTGACTGCAAACTTTTCGACTAAACCCATACGTCACCAATAATGTATAAATGATGTGGAACCTGTTGAAGTCTGTATGAAGTGTCCATCAAACAGAAAAGAATAGGCTGAGACAGTCTGTTAAAGTCCAGTCTGTTTGTCAGTGTTTCTTTCTGTGCTGAGCACCTAATCATAACAAATAATCATAACACCTGTGTGAGCCCAGAGATCAAAGGTTTCCATGGTGATGTGCAAGTCTGCCAGCAACACGTTCATTGTACCGGGGCGGTGGTGAGGCATCACTGAGTCCATTAAGTTTTTTGTATGAGGATTAGTTATGTATTGTTTTTGTTTATACTATCTCCTATTTATGTATTGATGTTGTGTTTTGCATCAGTTCTCTGCCAATGGATTGATAATGGGTTTTTTTGGTTGGAAAATGTAAACGAGTTTGTCTTAGAGTGACTCCTCTCTGTTCTGGAGAAAGTTCCGGACAGAATTCTACATGGGAGTGCTATTAGGAGGCTTAGGTGGGACTTTTTTCGACTCAGATCAGCTATTGGGCAGAACGGGGTGGATCCGGTTTGTTGAGTGATTAAAGCAAGTTGAGCAGGGTGACCAACTAATTATGCCTGAAATGTTGTTGAAATTATGTTGATAAGTGTATATTTGGCTCTAGAGAGGGGAGTTTTAAAATGATTGTTTGACCTAAAAGGTCAACTAACATTAACTAGGAATTCAATTTTGACGGGGCGATTCATTTCTAACCGCTGCCGACCTCAGGGCGAAAGAGACGACGGGTGGCGATACAGGGCGACGGCCGCCACAGAGAAGAGACGATTGGAGCGACAGGACGCAGAAGCGGAGAGGAAAAGTGTGAGTGAAGGAGGAATATAGTTAGCGATACAGGCGAAGAGAAGCGGAGCGAGGAGATGAACAGGGTCGCTAGGCGGGCAGACAGGAGAGAGACACATAATTCCCACAATGGCGCTCTCGCAAGAAGAGGGAAATGGACAGGAGAACAGGAGCTGTTTAACCTGACGGTGGACGGACCGTCATTGCATTCATCCCTGCCCACGTCGAGCGACAGAACCAGTGGGCTGTCTCATTTGTTCAGAGCCGCGTGGCGTCATTAAACAGTGCAACAACGCCACAATGAGAGCAAAACACAAAGTGGTTGACCAAACATTCCCCTCTCAAGTCAGGAACTGAGGTCAAAAACAATACAGCGGTCTCAGGAGCCTGATATGAGCAGTGCGACCAGCATCAAAATTAAAACTTAAATATCGTTTCCAGCGACAGGCTAACCGTGAGGCTGACCAATGAGCACCGAATGTCGTGGTATGAGAATGTCCCTGACACCATTTCAGCCAGATTTAAATCCGTGGCAGGACAAGCTCGACGCTCAATTTCTCGCAGGGAATTAAAAAAAGTGAGCGCAGATTATTGAAGGATAAGACGGGAAAGAAGAGTGAGAAAACTTTAAACTTCAATTGGATTGTAAAGACTGATATTGTTATATAATCGCTGTAAAACTCGTTAAGTCAAGATGGTGATAACGGTCTAACCAAAGAAAAAGGGGAAATCTCAAGCTGGCTGGCTCATCCTTTATTTGTTAGTTTCGATGGCTGAATATCAAGCACTTTAAGATGCACCATATTTTCAAAAAGCGTATTTGATTTAGTCTCCTATTTTGTAATGCAGCCAGAGTAGGAACAGTTACACATATCACAGGTATTTACTGTATATCTGTATAGTTCAATGTTGAAGTTACAATAAATATGGTGGTGTTATGAATTGTACTTTCTTTTTTGCATTGGCAGTCAGTTTTTGAGTTGACAGATGTAGCAACGCTGAATTTCAGGACTCCGTACAGCT